AAAAAGAAAAAAGAAAAAGAAAAGCAGAACTAGAAGATGGCCGAGGTTGCTACTGTTGCTGCTACTGCTGCTGGCAAGGTTACAGGGACCCTGTTTGCTCTAATTTTAAACCCAATTTGGAACAAAATCACACGTGTCTTCAAGTTGGAGGCTAATGTTAAGAATTTGAAGGAAAATGTTTGGAAGCTGAAGGCTGAAAAGGAGAGAGTGCTGCAATTTAGGGATGACGCTGACAGATGTGGGAAAGAGGTAACACTAAGGGTCAACAATTGGCTGACTAGCTCAGACAAGTACATTGGAGAAATGGAGAAGTTCGAGAGTGACACTGACAATGCAAAGAAGTGTTTCGCCAGGGTGTGTCCTAATCCCAAGGGCCGTTACCAAATTAGCAAGAAAGCAGAGGAGTATTTGGAGGCCATTGCTCAACTCCTTGAAGAAGCGGCCAGATTCAAGATCCCAGATTCTTATTTTGCTCCTTCACAGAAGATATCTACGACACCTGTTCAAGGTTATGAGGAATTTGGAACAAGAACGTCTATTTTGAATGGTATTATGGAGGCCTTGAGAAGTGCTAGTGTTGACAAGATAGGTGTGTATGGGATGCCTGGTGTGGGCAAGACCATTTTAGCCCAAGAGGTTGCCAGACAAGCAGAGGAAGCCCAGTTATTTGACTCAATAGTTATGGCTTCTGTGAATAAGAATCCAGAGTTGAAAAGAATTCAAGGAGAAATTGCAGATAAATTAGGTCTACAGCTTCATGGGGAGACTGAATTTGGGAGGGCCTGTCAACTAAAGGCATATTTGAAACAGAAGAAGAGGATTCTTGTGATTTTAGATGATATCTGGACGAGACTAGAATTGGATAAACTTGGAATTCCTTTTGAGGTCAAGAAGAATGAGGCAAGTTCAACTGGAGAAGAACAGCTGCAATGCAAGATTCTATTCACATCTAGATTTCTCAATGTTTTATCATCTGACATGCGTACTCATAAAGATTTTGAAGTTGGCCGATTACAAGATGAAGAAGCATGGGAGCTTTTCAAGAAGATAGCTGGAAATGAAATTGAAAAGTCTGACTTGCAGCTTACAGCAATGGAAATTACCAAAGAATGTGCTGGATTGCCCCTGGCTGTGGACACACTTGCAACTGCTCTAAAATGTAGGAGTTCTCATGCATGGAGGGATGCTTTGCGAGAACTAAAAAGGCCCTCTCCAAGTAACTTTGAAGGCATATCAGAAAATGTTTATCGGGCCATAGAAATGAGTTACAAGCACTTAGAAAGAAAAGATCTCCAACAAACTTTCTTGCTTTCTAGCTTGTTGGGACACAATGCTTCTATTGAAGACTTGATGAAATATGGTATTGGCTTGGACTTGTTCCATAATGTCATGACCACAGGAGAAGCACGAGACAAAGTACTAACATTGGTTAGTAATCTAAAGTCCAGTTCTTTACTGCTCAATGGTTGTGACGATATTCATTTTGACATGCATGATATTGTACGTGATGTTGCCATATCAATTGCGTCAAGGGACCACCACGTCTTATCATTAATAGATGACAATGTACCGAGAGAGTGGTCAGAAAGGGGAGCATTGGAAGGTTTCAAATGGATTAGCCTACAATATGCCAATATCAGTGAGCTCCCTGATGAGTTGGAATGTCCACAGCTTACCTTATTTTGTTTTTGCAGCAAGGATCCTTTTATGAAAATTCCAGGGAGCTTCTTTCAGAGAACAGAAGAACTCAGAGTCTTGAATTTCAGTAAAATGCATTTCTCATCTTTGCCTTCATCAATTTGCCTCCTAAAAAGCCTTCATACATTACATGTGAATGAATGTGTTTTGGAAGACATTGGTATTATTGGAAAGCTAATGAGTTTGAAAGTCCTTAGCCTTTCAGGCTGTGATATTGAAGAGCTGCCAATGGAAATTAGGCAATTAACCCAGCTAAAGCTGTTAGATTTGAGTGATTGTGCCAAACTCAAAGTGATTCAACCCCATGTCTTAGCAAGTTTGTCGAGACTAGAAGAATTATATCTGGGAAACAGTTTCAATCAATGGGGCATTGGAGAAAATGGAAATCAAAGAAATGCTAGCCTTGCTGAGTTGAAGGATTTGCATAACCTGGCTGCTTTAGATGTACATGTATGTGATGTCCAGCTTATTCCAGAAGACTTGTTTTCTGAAAGATTGAATAGATACAAGATTTTCATAGGGGAGATGTGGAATCACTGGGACAGTTCCTTCAAAAGCTCAAAAATATTGAAGCTGGAGCTGAATAGCTTTAATTATGATCATTCAATTGGCATGTTGTTGAAGAAAACAGAAGAACTACATCTAAAAGAATTGACAGGTTTCAAGAATGTAGTTTATGAGTTGGATGCTGAAGGTTTTCAGAAATTAAAGTATCTCTGCGTCCAAAATGCTGCAGAGGTTCAACATATCGTCAATTCAGTGAAGTGGGTTCTTTGCCATGCATTTCCTGTCTTGGAATCACTTCTTCTTCTTAATTTGAATAATTTGGTGACAATATGTCATGGCCAGCTTGGAGCAATGTCTTTTAGCAGATTAAGAATTATAACGGTTGAATGTTGTAATCAGCTGAAGAATTTGTTTCCATTTTCTATAGCTAGGTGGCTTCTCCAACTCAAAGAAATTAGAGTAACAGACTGCAGCAACATGGTGGAGATTGTTGATAAGGAGGGCCAAGGGACCAGTAACAATATTGTAGAAGCAAATGAAAATTTTGAACTTGTCCAGCTACGGTCCTTGAAATTGGAATATTTGCCCAAATTTATTAGCTTAGGCCATGGAAATGAAGAATCAAATAATTCAAGCTCCAACAGTACCAATCCACTTTTCGATAAAAAGGTATTTAATGTTTCTTGTATTCAGTACGTAAACACTAAACAGGGTAATTGCTAGTAATTTAGTGGAGATCAATTGGGTGCTATACTATTGCAGTGACAAATTGTGTGTTATAAGTAAATATTTGACCTTGCTTGAGATTAAAAATACTATTTAAGTCAAAATTTTTAAATTATATATGTGATGGCTGTTAGTGAATATGACAATGTGTTATTAGAGTTTTCCCACACCTTACTAATCCCATTGGAAATTAAGATTTTTTTTTTTTTTTGGTAAAATTAGTTAAGAAACATTTATGTTCTTCTTGGTGCATGAAAAATGAGAGGCAAAAAAGGAATGGAAAGTTTAAAAAATGAAAAATAACCCCTTTTTTTTGTTTTATTTGTTAATGTAATTTTATTAGAAGTGCAATGAATATAATATATCTAGGGCCACACTGAAAAATTAAGCTCTATTTTTTCTTTGTTTATTCTATGCTTTTTTTTTTCCTTTCTTTTTTTTTCATATTTTTCTTGAACCAAGCATAAAATTAAATAGCTAAGGATGAAAATAATTGCATATGCATCCATACTTGAGTCTTGACCCCTCATTAGATGATTTGAGAAATATATTTCGAGGTAATTTCAAGCAGAAAGTTATGTACTTATTTTACAGATTGTCCTTCCAAACCTGGAGGAGTTGCAATTGTCCTGGATTAATATTAAGAGTATATGGAGCAGCCGGCTTTCAGTAACATCTTCTTGTATACAGAATCTGACAAGATTGATCATTGAGGGCTGTGATCATTTGGAACACCTATTGTCATTTTCCATGGCCAAAAATCTTGTACAGCTTAGATGCCTTCAAATAAAGAAATGTAAGATGATGAAGGAGGTAATTGAACCAGAGAATGCAGAAGAAATGGAAGATTTGATTTCATTCCCGAAGTTAGACATCCTAAATATAGAAAATCTTGAAAACCTTACAAGATTCTGCTCTGGAAATTGTAGTGTTGAATTCACATCCTTGAAGCAATTGTTTATCAAAAATTGTCCAGAATTGAAGGGTTTCACTGTCAATCACACCAGCACAGATATCACAGGTGGATTAGAACCCCTCTTTAATGAAAAGGTATATTTTTTTCATTTTATTTGCATATGGTCTTAATTTTAGAAACTGATTCTAATCTTCTACTAATTTTTTATTACTTGAAAATTTTTGCAGGTTACTTTTCCCAGCTTGGAAATATTGAGGATCTTTCAATTGGAGAACTTGAGGATCATATGGCACCACCAACTGCCTGCAGATTCATTCTGCAAACTCAAATCATTGTCCATTTTAAGTTGTGAGAGATTATTGACTATTTTTCCATCTGAAATACTTGAAAGATTATGCACATCATTAGAGGAGTTGGAGGTATCTCTTTGTGGTTGTTTAGAAGAGATATTTGATCTTGGAGAATTAAACATTGAAGAGTCACACACTGTAGTAGACAGCCAATTAAGACATTTGTCTATTTGCCAGCTACCAAGATTGAAGCATATTTGGAGCAAGGATCCCCAAGGAACTCTCACTTTTCAGAACCTGCAGTCTGTGAAAGCTGTGAGTTGTCTGAATCTTCAAACTCTGTTTCCAGCTTCAGTAGCTTTGGGCCTTTGGCAACTTCAAAAGTTGGAATTAATAGGATGTGGGATAGAGCAAGTTGTGGCATTTGGAGAAGACACAGAAGTTCCTAGATTTTTGTTTTCTAATTTATCTTCTCTTGGACTGTGGTATCTACCAAGAGTCAAATATTTCTATCCACTGAAACACAAAATAGAGTGGCCTATGTTAAAAAAATTCAGTGCATTTCATTGCGAAGGAGTTAAAGAAACAAATGCAGAGAGCCTTGGCAAATTCCCTGTTCAGCTACCACTTTTCTCCATACAGAAGGTATGAGCCTCAGTTTCTATACTTTTTTTTTCTTGCTTTTTCACTGAGTTTTGGTTATTATTACGTTGCTGTGACAAATTAAAGATCAAAATAAAACTATATTGTTGTTGTTCCAAATATGCTGATAGCTGCCAAACCAGAGCATAGAACAAGTGGCAATGCAACCTGCTCTCTAGTGGTGGGCAACTAGGCACTTCTAGTTTTGGAGTTTGAATCTTGCCTATTTTTTAATCACCTCATCCTGCACACAAGGCCAAAATAACTTTTATACTCCATCTCATCTGCTTTGGTTGTCATGGTTACTGAAATGGGGGTGGTCTGAATTAGTAGTCATTTTCTATCTATCTTCAAGAAAACATTAAGCACTTTACTCCCAATTTTTAACCCTGGTGTTTCTGATTTGCATTAAACTAGTCTTAGAGTTGTAAAATGAATTAAGGGTAAATATAGAATTTTAAGTACTAATTATTATGGCCCTTGTATTAAATAAACTTCCCTTGTAATTGTGCCAACCTTAACCATGATAACTAAGTCAAACCAAAGGGTGTAATATATGGTGGCCTTGGCCCCACCACATTTTTTTATAAATCATAATTATATTTCATTAAACATGGCCATATGACATCTTAAAATATGGGAATAGGCACAAAGAAAACTACATACAAGGTATGAGTGGCAAAAAATTAGTAAACAATAAAGTAAAAATCACTTGTATAATCCCCCCCAGCTTAGATAGCATTAGATCCACAGGTAAAGACAAAAATTCAGAGTCTTCCTGATACCTCAGCCTCAATCAACAAGGTTTATCTACAGGAAAACAACAAATTTAGTTCCTCTTATCCATCTCCATGACAGCAGATACAATTGTAGGGAGAGAAGGAAGAGGGAAAAAAGGGAAAAACAGTTAAGAGAAAGGGAAACAAGGAGAAAAGAAGTGCAGGAGAGGGAGAGAAAATAAAAGAAGGGGAAAAGAGTAGAGGGAATTTTACATTTGGCTGTTACATGTTGATAATACATCTAATTTTTTTGAACAGTTCTTTAGTTTCTCGGAATGAAGTACTAATTTGTAAATTCTTATGTTTTGATGGACTGGCTTCCAGGTCATTCCTAGGTTGGAGAAACTGTCCTTAACAAGTGATGACATTGCAATGATATGCAATGGCCAATTTCAAGGAGACATCTTTTCCAAAGTTAGAGTTCTTCGTGTTCTTTGTTATCATGATGAGTCACTGGTTTTTCCAATCTTCTTCCTTGAAAGATTCTGCAATTTAGAAAAGCTTCAAATAACTTGTTGTAATTTCAAGGAATTGCTCCCTTCTGTAGCATCCATTGATTGTCAGAAGAAGGATGTGGGAAGGGACTTACGTATTAGAAAGTTGAAGCTGACTGTACTTTCTCATCTGAAGTATATATGGAGCAAAGACTCAGGACTGAGCCTATTTCAAAATGTTGAATCCCTTAAAGTGGAGCAATGTGATAGCTTGGTTAGCATATCAGAATCTAATGCATCTTTTCGAAATCTGACCACTTTGTCAGTATATAGATGTCAAGTGTTAAGAAACTTGTTTTCATTCACTACAGCTCAAAGTCTGGCACAACTTCAAGCTATGACTGTATCAGAATGCCACTTGCTGACTGAAATAGTGGGAGACGAAGGGGATGGATTAGAGGATGTGGTTGTTTTCAGTAAATTAAAAGTTTTAGAACTCAAGTCCTTAACAAGACTTGCTAGCTTCTGTTTAGGAAATTTCACTTTCAAGTTCCCATTGTTAGAACAAGTAACAGTTATTCAATGTCCCAACTTTGAGACCTTCTGTCATGGAGTCCTGAAGACTCCAAGGCTGCAGAGAATACAATTAACAGATGGAGAAGATTTGGGGCGTCCAGTGGTTGAGCTGAATAACACCATAAATCATTTATATAGAGAAATGGTATGAATTGAGCTCTAACTATAGTTTTCTTCCTGGCATGTTTTTTATCCTTTCATTAACGTAAGGTAATAGTTATTGCTTTTTCCCTTTTTTTTCTCATTTTTCTCTATGAATTTATTTGGATTTTTGTGATATAATTAGCTGTACAATTGGTAGGTTGGATATGCTGGGTTACAAAATTTGAAGCTCTCAGAGTTTCCTCAATTAATGGAAATCTGGAACAAAAATCCTCAAGAAATCTTGGATTTCAGATGGCTTAGCTTCCTAGAAATTTGTAATTGTGGTGACTTGAGATACCTCTTAACTCCTTCCATGGCATTGAGTCTTGTTGTGCTCCAAAAGTTGAAAGTACAGAACTGTGAAATGATGGAGCAAATCATCACAGAAGGAGCTATGGATGTAGTAGAAAATAATATGATATTCCCACGTCTAAAGTTCATTACACTAGAGTCTTGTTCAAACTTGACAAGTTTTTTTGTGGAAGTTATAAACTTGAGTGCCAATCATTGATAGTGCTGTTTGTAGTAAACTGTCAAAAGATGGTTACATTTGCCTCAGCATTTTCAATAGCACAAGTGAAAGTGGCAGGTGACAGGGGAAGTGAAGAAATGATTGGCAAGGAAGATAGTGATATCTCTTCTGAATCCTTTTTCAGTGATCAGGTTAGTTACTTCGTGAAGATTGTTTTTTTTTTTTTTTTCATCCATTTTCTGGACTTCTGTTGCGCTCATTCACAGTACTTGCTGCCTGGATTATTTCACTTCTAGCGCTATATACATAAACAAACTAATGGTCAACTAAATACACACACAGTTTCCTTAATGACTAAAACTAAGTGATGCAGAAATCATTATTATCATTCTTTCTGCATAATAAAATATAAAAGTGCATTTTCAATTGACCTAGAAGATAGGATGGTTTCCCAATTGATCTATTCTACCTCAGACTCGGATATATTCCTTCAAGATAAAGAGAAAATAGAATTTGTGATTAACCCTCATTTTCACTCTTAATCATGCTTCAAGGATCAACCAATGAATGCTTGTACATTTCCTTTTAAATGTAAAAATGCTAGTGTTCAATCAACAGATTCATTGACCATGATTTAGCCTGATCAGAATTGAGTCCCATGTATGTAAGACCACAAGCCATCTCAAACAGCAATTGTATGGGTAGTAATGAATGAAATCCTAGTAAAGTAAAGACATTCCCTTTCAAGACTTTTAATTTTTTCTTTTATGTCTAAATCAATCATCAATACAAGGGCGCATATTAATAATTTGAAGTCATTTTTCATGTCATTTCTTTGGAAGCATAGTGATGCAATGTTTAATTATCTTCTTTTATTGAATGATCAAAGTTTGTTCATGAACCCTATAACTGTACTTTGCAGGTTGAGTTATCCAACTTTCTGCAGTTGAACCTGTCCTCGATGAACATGCAACAATTACTCCACAAACAACTTTCGGCAGTGTCTTCTGTTGTTCAAAGTTTAGGACACTTGAATCTTGAGGGATGTGGTAATTTGAAATATCTATTTACATCCTCAATGATTAAAAGTTTGGTGCAACTCAAATATCTTGACATTCGTGATTGTAAGATGATGAAAGAGGTAATAATAATTGATGGTTTAGCCGAAGAAGGAAGAATGTTGTTGCCTAACCTTAGAACAGTAATCCTTGAGGGCCTTATCAAACTCACAAGATTCTGCTCTGGAAATTGTGTTGTTTTCCCTTTTCTGACACACCTTTATATACTCAAGTGCCCTCTGTTGGAGACATTCATCTCCACTTCTACTACCATTGGAGACACTAGTCACATGACAGCAAGTAAAAGGGTAGAAGATACTTATGGATCACCTCTGTTTGATGCAAAGGTGATTCATTTTGCTTGTTTCCCCTTTATTTTATATTTCGTCATGTCTTTGAATATTAAAAATTTCATATTATACTTCATTCTTCTCTCTTTTAGGTGGCATTCCCCAGTTTAGAGCACCTTATAATCAAGGATATGGAGAGGTTGGAGAAGATAAGGCATGACCAACTTCATGCAGATTCTTTTTACAAACTTGAAGGCCTTATTGTGGGTCCCTGTGAAAAGCTAATAAGTATTTTTCCACTTAACATGCTGGAAAGGCTTCAAAACCTTGCCTGCCTGCAGATATTAAATTGTATTTCACTAGAAGAAATTTTTGAAGGGTCACAAGCCATGGCTGAATCAACTTTGGTGGAAACAGACACTAATTTTGTATTTCCTAAATTGACACAGTTGCAACTTCTTGTGCTACCCAAGCTTAAGAGTATCTATCCTCAAATGCATACTACAGAATGGCCATCAATGAAAAAGTTGTTCGTGTTTGGATGTGATCAAGTTGAGATATTTGCTTCAGAACTTCTGTGCTTCCAAAGAACAAGAAGAGAGAACCAGCTAGAAATCCAGATTCAAAGCCCTCTGTTCTGGGTTAGTAAGGTATGAGTTCTCAGTAATCAAAAAGCATGCGCATGTAACAATGAACCATAGCTTTCGTGTAAACTCTTCCTTGCCTAAACTTTAGGTTATAGTTTGGTCTTAAAACCCATAAATTAATAATATTTAACATCTCTTTATTATGCTTCATTTTTCTAATTTTTCATTTTTACCATTGTACTCATTTAAACAGGTCAAATTGAATATGTTTTACTAATATGTAAGTGACAAATTAAAGGAGAACTTGAAAGCCGTGGGAGTTTACCCAATAGCATTCGAATTTTGAGTCTTAATTTTGCATAATGAGCAGAGGATTTACATCATCTACCCATTTCATCCTCCTTGGTTTGTAATGTATCAAATCATATGTTGATTTCCAGGCTACATTCCCCAGTCTAGAGGAACTAATAGTGGAGAGGAATAGCAGCATGAAGGAGATATGGCACAGTGATGATGTGAAGGATGGCATTCTTTTCTCCAAACTCGAGACCTTGCAACTTAAAGTTCTACCAAGACTTGAAAGCTTCTGCTCAGGGAGTTGCAACTTTGAATTCCCTTCTTTGAAAGATGTAATTGTGATGGAGTGTCCAAATATGCTGACTTTCTCTGAGGGAGAAGTAAGTACCCCAAAACTGCAGAAAGTGAAACTGACAGAAGATGAAGATGAAGGATATTGGGAAGATGGCCTTAACCCCACAATACAACAGTTGTTCTTAAAAAGGGTATACAGTGATTCAAAAGACTTCCTCATTTTTTTATTTGTTTTATGCTTTCTCTCCTTCTTAATTATCCCATTTCCATTAAAGACATGATGAAATTAAATATGGGGAAAGGTTGTGGTAAACTTGACAGATTATTTGTAGTTAAATTCCTTTAACTAGCCTTCAAAATGTGCTCACCATGATTGCAGAGTGATGATGACTCTGAAGAAGACTGGTCTCATGCTTTACACAAGCTGTATGATTAGGTTTCTGTTTGAGATGGTGAGTAGACTCTCTGATACCGTCAACATTACTTTGTCTGATATATTTTCTTTCCCTTCAAACAGGAACAACTCTTATACAATCTGTTATATATATGCTGATGATACTTTCTTCCTTGTAGGTTTGTATGGTGCACTCATAAGCTGGATTTCTACCGTGCCAGGCTGCATTTTTGTCTTCTAACTTTAAAATGTTAATTCAATTCCTAAAACTAGTCTTTTGAATTTTTAAACTCTATTTGTGCGACGTCTTTTCAATGTTTAATTTCTGCGAGCCACGTAAGACGTTTTTTTGGTTTGGTTTTTGTATTGTGAAGGAGATTATTTAAACTTAATTATACCTTCCTTAATGTAACTTGATGTTGCTATTAGATTATGAATGGAGATATACGTATGTCTTATTTATCTAATTGGTATCTTATTCAGCCTTTTGCAAATCATCTGTTTTGGGTTAAAATTCTAAGGATTTTGTGTTTCCATGATGAGAATTTCAATTTGTTCCATGGTATAGCATCTTAATTCTTAATTTGACCAAAATCATCTACACTTGAATGGAGCCTCTTCCTCATCTCTATAAGCAATAGCGTCGAGTCGAGGGTTCGAATTTCAACGTACTCCCCCCAAATAACAGTCTCAGGTCAAGGATTTTGGGGGTGTTTGTTCTCAATGGACTTTTTTTTTTTCTAAATTTTTCTAAATTTGTTTTATAAAACTAGTTATATATTTTTACATATTAATATTACAGTAAAAGAAGAATGAAAGTAATATTTTTAATTTTTATTTTTGTGAATTCTTAATCCATAAATTTTTTTTTTCCAACTATTTTAAAAGAAAATGGTTTTCCTCTACATTTTCATATTTAGAATTTACTTGTTATCTTTTTTAACAATTTTTTTATACCAATGTTTTATCAAATATAAAAAAGTTACAACTTAACAGAATTCTCACAAAATTTTACTACAAAATTTATTAACTTTTTATATTGTATTCATCAACTTCTTATATAATATTTTAATTATTTTTTCAATAAAAACTTTTCTAATAAGATTACAAGAGACCATTAACTTTAACTTGCTCTCTATGTTGAAAAAAAAAAGAAAAAAGAGAGAGACTATCTTCATTTTCAGTTCAAATTCAATGATTAAATTTGCTATTGTATAACTGTATAGGAACTATTGTTCCAAGAACTGTTGCTGCCAATCAAAGCTTTAATACTATTCTCCTTTTACCCAAAAAAAAAAAAATTCCAATGTACCAAAAATATTCTTAACAAAAAAAATAGCAGGATCAACGGCGATCAGCCTAATGGAGTTAATAAGTTTGGGGTCTGAACTGAGAAAGAAAAAGTAGTTCTTTCCTCATAGGAACAAAGAGGAATAGAGTAGGGCCTAACCTATAAAAAAAAAAAAAAAGTAAATGATACGGCACCGTTCCTTGAAGACACAGAGAACCAAACCCCACAAGTTGGATCCCATAAACCGCGCTCGTCCCAGTCCCCTTCCTCAGTCCCCCAAAGCGAAAACACTTGAAAATGGACGGAGTATCGTAGCAGCGATTCCCGAAGATCAAAATCCGGGAGATGAAAGACGACGATTTCATCGCTCACCGTCTCGGCCTCATCCCGCTCACCAGTGAACGCGTCATGTCTATGCGCTTCTCGCGTGATTGCGACATACGCGATGGTCACGGCCAGTGCGAGTTCTGCTCTGTTGAGTTCCATCAGCGAGCCAAGTGCATGATCTATATTACGAGCAAGTATTTGTATAGTTCGGACCACACGGTGGTTCCTGTGGATTTCACCGACTCGTCTGGGTATGAGTCCTCTGAGCAGAGGTACTGACATTGCTCTCTCTTAATGCCTTTGCACATGTGTCTAATTTATGTTCCTAAGTTGCTCAGATGTATCTAGATTTTGTTTCCGTGCAAGATTAATACAATAGCACCACTGTTTTAGGATCTTAGTGGCTTCCTAGTCATTTCTGTTATTTTTTCAGTAATTATTGGAGAGTATTTTCATAATGAGTTATAGATACAATCCTGCAAATCACAAAAACCTTCATGGAAGTGTAATTTAGAGAGCATTTTCATAATGAGTTAGATATAATAATCAATAGATACCAATTTGACTAATTGAATTTCAGTAGTTTCCTTTTCCACTATTACATTTGCATCTTTGGTATTTAAAAAGCATAATCCCCCTTTTTCTATGAGAGAACAAATCCAATCATCAGTTAGGTTCTTTTTCATGTAGCTACCTCAAATGTTGTTGATAAGAATACAGGTTAAAACAGCCTTTAAGTGTCTTCCACATTATGATCCTGCTAGTTGCTGGACTGGAGATCCCTCTCCATTCTGCACTGGAAAATTCATGATTATGTTCATGCATAGCGGTCCAAGCTTACCACTCCTTCTAAGGTAGACTAATTAAGTCCCATTTAACTAGTAAAGACTAATTTCGTCTCTATTTGATTTGGAAAGCAAAACTTCCATATGTGGTTGGTTTATAGGTTGCAGAACATATTATCTCAATTATCGAGGAGTTTAACAATCATAAGCCCCCAAAGCTATTGTTGGTTTCTTTGGTGCTGAGGAAATAAGGACGTAAGCTGCAGCTTCTACATGCAGGTTTGAAGAAAGTATTGCTATAATCTGAATGTTAATTACATACTTATGCTTTTTACCTACAGAGATGCTTCAGATAAATTTCACCAATATGGAGTTTAACTTTAAGTTCCACATGAGCATTATAGCTTTCACGCTACCTCTTTCTTGCCTAAACTTATTATTTAGTCTACAGGTAATAGTTTGGTCTTAAAATTCATCAATTAATAACATCTAATATCTCTTATCTTTGAGTTTTTTAGATGTTTTTTGTGTGTTTGTGGGAGTTGTTTGTGGAATATTGGGTTGGATTACCTCATATGCTCTTAATAATAATATATATATATATATATATATTGCTGTTAAAAAAATAGCAGAGGATTTAGATCATCTACCCACTTCATACTCCTTGGTTTTTAATTTTTCAAATCATATGTTAATTTCCAGACTACCTTCCCCAGTCTATAAGAACTAACAGTGGAGAGGAATGAGAGCATGGAGGAGGTATAGCATGGTGATGAAGTGAAGGATGACATTGTTTTCACCAAAATTTGAGTCGTTACAACTTAAGAGTTCTTCCAAGACTAGAAAGCTTTGCTCAGGATTAGGAAATTGCAACTTTGAATTTCCATCTTTGGAATATGTAACTGTGATGGAGTGTCCAAATAGGCTGACTTTCTGTGAGGGAGCTAGAAGTAAGCACACCAAAATTGCAGAAAGTGAAATTCACAAAAGATTCACAAGATGAAAGAATTTGGCAGGAAGGTGGCCATAACCCCACAATACAATGGTTATTCACAAAAAAGGTATCCTCTATTTCTTGTGTTTTATGCTTTCTTTCCGTCTTTTTAATTATCCCGGTAAAGACATCAAATTAAATATGGGGAAAGGTTTTGGTAAAACTTAATAGATTATTTGTAGTTATATGCTTTAACTAGCCTTCTAATTCAAAATGTGCTGATTATAATTGCAGAGTGGTGATGATTCTGAAGAAGACTGGTCTGATGCTTTGCATAAGCTGTTCAATTAAGATGATGTTTCAAAAGGTGGGTGGATTCTTTGATGCCATCAACTTTACTGGTTTGATATGTTAGCTTTCCCTTCAAAAAAGATACATCTCTTTTACAAGCTACCGTATATATTGATGATACTTTCTTCCTTATACGTTGTATGGTGCACTCCTAATTAAGCTGAATTTCGACAGTGTCAAGCTGAACTTTTTCTTGGCACCTAAAAAATATTATTTCAATTCCTGATAGGTTGAATGGTGCATTCACTTGTGACTTCGTCTTACGAAAAAGACTTCAATTTTTCTGGTCTGTATTGTGAGGAGAATTTTTAAACTCGATTTTACGTTATTTAGATAACTTGATACAGCCATTAGGTTATGAATTGAGCTACATATATACACATCTTATGGATCTTAATTATATCTCTTTTCCACCTTTGCAAATCCTTCGTTGGCTAGTTGGCGGTCAACCATGAATTTACTCTCTTAAAATTTTGAATGATTCGTTAGGTTCCTCAGAATGTAAAACAGAGCATAACTTCATAAATTTCAGCCTACCATATCTGCGGGTCTCTGGCTGGTCCTCAGCCCAGAACTGTTGACAGGTCCTGGGCAGGCCTGATTGCGCCTGGCCTACGCTATTAGCTCAATCCAGAGGAAGTGGACAACTACCCTTCACTCTGCATCTCGGCAAACAACTCCAATTCCGACAATGCTTACTCTAATTCTAATAATGCCTTTAGTGCAACAGATTATCGATCTGGAGATATTTCCACTGTGTTATGAAGTTTGGGTGTCCGCAAGACTATCTGAGCTCAACCTGCGGCTGTTCCTGTTCTCTTTCGTGCCTACCAACATTTTTTCAAAATGTGCCGTGAACATTTTTTTACCAAATCAGGCAGCAGCGTAGGTAGGCATACGCTGTTGCAGGTCAGTTTTACTCTATAAAATTAGTAGTGTAGTAATTTTATTTTTATCCTAATGCCACTTTCTGTTTACTGGGATACTTGCCATTGAAATGGCTTAGCTAAAGAAATGTGGATGAAATGGCTTTTGTTTTCATGCATATCCATGAGCGTGAAATCTTAAAAGCTGTATGTATTATGAAGCTGTAGCCTGTAGGCTAGAGCACACACATAACAGATCATGAGAAGCAACAACTAGAAGTCCATGACCACATTAGTTATTCCCGGTTAGTGAAGGCCAAATACAACAAAAGTGCCATGCTTTCCTCTATCCAATGGAAGTCCATGGCTCTTGTTTTCATGCATATAATTTGTTGAATATTTTTTGCCCCTCTATTTATAATTTTATAGTGTATGCCGACCGATTTATTCCATCGGTAAAGTGCACTCGGTTGTATTAATTGATAATTGACGGGGGGTGGTCACCATCCTCTTCTTGCAAAACAATCACTTATGATGCATGCATTTTGTTTAATTCTTTTTTAGTTTGGGACATATTAAACAGTATAGGTGGAGAGTCGTTTGAAAGGAATTGGTGACTTGTGAAATCATTTTGTCTCATTTTTGCTTTTTTGCTAGAAAAAAGACGAGGGGTATCAAAGGTGATGGTGAGTGGAGGGTGCTTTCGACTCCAACATTATCCATTAGACCTGTGGAAAACCTTTAGCATAACTACTGTCATGCAATGACTCAGCACACATGACTGGATCTTCGCTTCACTCATCCATAGAAAAAAGAGGAGTGCTAGGGGCACTCACCTTCTGCACTCTCCGGCCAACACTTTCACTTTTATTGGGCCACGTTATTCTGATCAGTAGGAGGTTGCACTTCAAAGCCTGAAACAAGCTTACGTGGCCCAATGAAAAAGGAAGTGTTGGTCGGAGAGTGCAGAGGCGAGTGACCCTAGCACTGCTCTAGAAAGAAAGCATCCACCTTTTTGAGGAAAAAAAAAGCATCTACCTTTAATAGAAATGCATGTCAATTATTAGAACATTTACATCAGCAACTTCAATCCTTTCACGCAACTTTTTTTCATTTTTCTAAGGATTTATTTATTTTAGAATCCTGTGTTACCATCCGTTGCATAGTGGACGGTAACATCAGGACTCTTGAAAGGGAGAGGAGAAGACCCAATATCAGGGGCCTTTTCTTTTTGAATGATGATGGTAATTATAGTTTATTATAGAATGGATTATAATATAATTTTTTTGTATTTATTTTATATTTTTAAGATATAAAATAAATAATAATTATTTGTTATCTTAAAAATAATGATGATTTTTATTTTAATTATAGATATTATGTGTTAAATTTTAATTGATTTATTTTAAATTTAAAAATAAAATTTATTTTTTAAATTAAAATTTTATATTTTTTAAAAAATATTATAATTAATATTTAATTATTATTTTTAATTTTGTATTCTTCGAATACATGATAGGCAAAATTCTTTTTCTAAAGCCAAAGATAATAAGGCTGAACTCTTTATTTCTCTTTTAATATTATTTAGTTTTGTAATTAATATTTTAAAAAAAATTTCTTTTCCGGGTCGACACCTTAAAAGTTTTTAAAAGTGGTGAAAAGTCCAAAATTTCACGTGCCATGTACCTTCCGTATCTTTTTCGCTGACATGAAATTATTTTGATGAGGTGGCAACTTTTTAGACTTGTGTGGCCTTTGGTTAATCATTTTTAATTTCTTATAACATGAAAAAATTCAAATTTCAAATTTGCCGATCAAAATCATGACAGCCAATGATATTTTTTTTTTTGAACGGTGTAAATCGTGAGGGTGGGGTTCGAACCTCAGCTTAAGGGTTGGAGGTTACACTTTTCAGATAAGTTTAAAGTCATTGGGCACGAGGCCCAAGTGCGACAGCCAATGATATTTAAACACATAGCCATGAGCAAATTCAAATCAAATTTCAATTTTACAGACCAATGTAAGTATCCAGTCCAGTGAGACAGTCAAGATTTTAGAGAAGGATTGCATGGTATATAAATTGTCTAAGTTTAAAGTGCAATTTTCCAAAGCTCACAATGTAAACATATGATCACTAAGCAGCTTCCTCTCATATAAATTTTAAGAATGAAAAGACCTTGGGTTCCAAAGATGACGAAGAAAATTTTGGGTTCCAAGAAGAAATTTTGGGTTCAGCCGAAGCCAGAAGATCATGGTGGTCGCAATCTTCTATTTATTCGCGGTGGTGATGCTCGTAATCATACTCCATCTCTATGCTAGATACCTGATGCAACGCCGAGTAAGAAGGCGTCTGGCTTTCCTTCATGCCCTCAAAGCCCAAACTGCACCAATTAACACAAGCTCCAGCATTAATTGCCCACCGAATACCCAGATTATGGATAGCCAAGAATAATTTCACATACCAAAGAGGATTGGGAGGCAGGACGGATTGCAGTAATTGGTTAATTAAAATTATTTACATGATAATAATATTAAAATAAAAATTATTAATTTTTATATAAATTAATTATAAAAAAAATACATTTATTGTATCTAATATGTGCCCAACAAACTTTTACATTAAAAGAAAATTTTGACAAATTTAATGAGTTTAACAAAATTAATGGTGATCAAAACCATGATCCCTCTATGCTAGGCATAAGTTCAATTATCTCGAATTTAATTACTCTCTTTATTTTTAACACATTTTGACAGCCCCTAGACTTTCGATGCATGCATTTTGTTTCCTTTTTTTTAATCCAAGTGTGTTTTCTTTTACTATATATTGAGATTAATCCTAATCATTTTTTTTTATTGCTAACACCCATTAAACCAGGCTGAGTTTAACGGAAGTGTTTTGTAAAATTTAAAAAATATTTACCTTAAAAGTATTATTTATTTCTCATAAATTTAAAATTTTATTAGTGTAAAATAACAAAATTAATTTTTAATTGAATTTTAAGTAAGTTTTAAAAAAAAATTACACATTTAAATTTTTTGAAATTTGCTTAAAATATATTTGAAAAAATAATTTTTGAATTTTTTTTAACAAAAGATGATACCTATAAACATAAATACTATTTTTTAAGTTTTTCCAAACACCTAAATTTTATTGTTGAGATAAGCAACTTTAGTTTTTTTATGTTCTACTTTACCGCAAATGTTGATCTCATTTTAAGAATACAAGATTTAACGTATCCAATTCTAAAGTATCCAATTCTTAACCAATTCTAAAGTTCACCTGTTTAAATTCTAAAGTATCCAATTCTTAACCAATTAAAACACACTTAAATGCGATTTTGATGTAAATTATTAAAGTGTTTTCACTTGTTCTGCTTCTCTGGAGTTCTTCTTCTTTGTCTATGATTTTCTTGTGCCCTTTCCACTAATCTCACATCCTTTTTTTGGCAGTGGTTATTGTTATCATCCAAATTATTAAAGTTATCAAAATTGTTATAAAGAATATTAATTTAATTTAATTTAATTATTAAAAATAATTAATAATTAATAAAATAATTAATATTTATTATTTAATAAATTGAAATTAATTTATAAAATAATATTTTTAAATATTATAATTATTATTTAAAATAAATGATAAATATCAATTAAATTAAATATAAACTTAATAATCTTAACACTTTAAAGCAAAAAAATAAATATCGTACTATACCGGTTGGTATGATCGGCACGTATCGATTTTAGAGTAGATTGAAATGAAGTAAAAATGAATTTCATTTCGGTCAAAATCCAATGATTTTGATCAAATTTTGGTGTACTGATCGAAATTTTGACATATCAATCGGTATATCAAAATTTAACCGGTATAATATGCAAGAATTTAAAAAAAAAATTTTATTGGCCAAAACAACGTCGTTTTGGCCAGTCCTACAATTTCAATCGCGCAAATCCTTCTTTGTTCTCACATCTAGCTGTCTTGACTTGCCAATCTTCCATTTTTTGGTACAGTTGCCTGCTACGATTCAAATCAATTCAAATTTAAAAAGAGTAAATTTTATTTTTAATC